GGAGTAACGAAATAATTTGGATATATCAACAAAGTTGAAATGGTAAATTGGCCACCGTAATGATTACAAAAGCACCTCCTTTGCTTTCCGGCCGGCGTGTCAACTTACGCAAGGTAGAGTTATTCATTGATCAAGTGACTCCTTTCATTGCTCTAGTTAAATTGTCCTTCATTCAGTGATGAAGATAGTAGATTGATCCAGACCTGAGACCATTCCATGCATGCGACCATTCTTGAAGTACAGCGTGCAAATATGCAGCGACAATCAAAATGGCTCACTTTTTAGGAATATTTATCATGTAGGCTTGGCGTAGAAATTACTTAGTCGAACTAACGGCTAGCTCAATTGGTTAGAGCGCCGGACTTTTGTGCGGGAGGTCGATGGTTCGAGTCCTAGCCGGACCAATACTCATGGTCTTCAAATAACTGAGGAGAATTTGCTTCCCTTCTATAATATCAAGAAATGGATAGATATTCTAGTCTTCTCGGATAAGGACCAATAAGGGCCCCGTGTCCTGCAGGGTTAGGGGTAGGAGACGTTAATTTCCCACGTGCGAGATTACTGTGTGGTGGATCTCCTACCCTGGGGTGGGATTGGTGGGTGTTCATAGGGCCCCATTTAAACTGGCTATCTGCTAAACTGGGCTACCCTGTATAAATATTCTTAAATATAAATACATACTACTGAATGATGAAATCGCAAACGGTACCCTTTTTACTCTGCAATTTGTAACATCGTACTACGAAGTCAAACCAAACAATCCGTTTCAGCCTCATGTCCAAACTCTAAGATCATTATCGCGATCTCTTCGAATCCCAATGCAAATTATACAGTAGCTCTCGATGTAAATACCTCCACATTTTCAGGCAGTTGCTTGCCACCTTTGAATCTCTGAAGAACATCTAGTTACGGGAAGCTACTCCACTATCATTTAAGCAAAGATAGTCCCAAAAACGAATAAGGTTTGATGTACCACCTTGACAAAAACGAAATTATAGGGAGAGCCAAATCGTACAGTTTATATCGAAATGAAGAAAGATGAAATCGAACAATTAAGGTTCCATTAGTTGGTATTTTTGTAATTGTATAAGTAAAATGAATCAAGTGATTTGACTGTTTTGTGGGTGGTTCTGAATCTAAGGATTTCTTAAATTTATTATCTCATCTACTGCTTTGCGTCAGTGTCGACTCATGTGCCACAAATACTGGTTAATACTCGTTTCAAAGAATCATCAAAGAGGGTGAAAAAACCCTCCACCCAACCAAGTGTTGGAACAACTTCCGCACTGTAAATCCGATCTACATCAAGTCAACCAACACACTGCACGATGTGGCTATCTTAACGTCATATATGGCTATGTTATAAATGTGTACATGCCTCTGTATTAGCTGTATTGAACCATAGGTTGATCGATTTATTAACTGTTTGATTGACTTGTTCAGTTATCAATTCATTTATTCATTCTTGTCATTTATCATAAAAACAAATAAGTTTCATTACCATTTCGGTCATGAAATTCCATTTGAAAAAAATAGGATTCGATTTATTTTCGTTTTGATAGCGTATAGGTGAAATAAATCGGGTTATATAACTGTGAGGTACGTGCAGTGGGTGATTCTGTAGGTAAAGATTTCTGCAAATGATTTTCTCTATTGCTTTCTGTCAGGGTCGACTCGGGAGCCGCAAACATCGGATACTACTCGTTTCAAAGAGTCATCCACGAGGGCGACAAAACCCTCCACCCAACAACCAAGAGGTGCAACAATTTCAACACTACAAAACCAACCTACATCAAATCAAAGAACGCAAGGTACAATGTGGCCATCTTAACGTCGTCTATGTCTAATCAATAAATATCTACATGCCTATGTATTGGTTTTATTGAACGATCGATTGATCTATTGATTAATTGTTTGATTGACTTGTTCACTTATCAAGTCATCAACTCATTCCTTCATTTATCACTAAAATGAATAAGTCCCATGGCCATTTCGGTCATGAACGTGTAAGAGGTTTATTATCCAACGGGCCAAATTGTTATTTTAGTGAGGGCAAAATTCGTGGATATTTCTGGAGCACAAATATCGAGTGATATTTGTATTCGTCTCGTGCGTTATTTGTACTCTGCCAAGTACAGTTGGATAATAAATATATCTTATGAGACGTTTTGATGTGTAGTACCGCTGAGTATTTTTTTTCGAGTAGTGCCGTGTTTTGACGAGCCCTTAGCACGAGTCAAAATACAAATAACGAATGAGAAGAATCAGCGATACTACACAACAAAATGTATAATAAGTTATTAATTATCCAACACGACGAACTGTTATTCCAGTGCGGGAGAATTTCGCGGATATTTATTTACGGGGAGTGCGTGACAGAAGTATGGAAAGCGGAACGGAATAGGCGCCTTGTCGTGTCGCTGTTTCCATTTTCTTCAGTAAATGAAGACATTTCCTATTCGTATAGCTATTTTTCTTCGTTCGATTCATCCAATAAACTTAAATCTATAATCGGCAGCCACTCCTACTCTTCATCGTCAGAAATATGTTTAAAATCAAATACCGCGTGAACTTTTTACTCGTCTATGGCGTTATTTACACTATACGGAGTGGAGTTGAATAATAAATCAGGTTATATAAACGTGAGGTACGTGAGTGATTCTGAAAGTAATGATTTCTGCAAATTATTTTCTCTATTGCTTTGCGTCAGGGTCGAACCGTGATCCGCTTTCACTGATAACTACTACTCGTTTCAAAGAATCAGTGTGTCAAAGCCTCATGCATTGCTAGCAAAAGCAAATATTCTTACACTGCAAAACTGACCCACATTTAAACTCCCAACGTAAGATACAATGTAATCCTGTTAGCCTCTTCTATGTCTGTATAATAGTCGTCTACGTGCTACCAGCTGTACTTATCCATATCTTAATCCATGTAATTTTCTATTTGATTGCCATATAGTTCTACTTTTCTTTCCTCACTTGGATTGTATCGTTGTTGATGGGGAATAAAATGCAACCATAAAACAATACGTTTACTTGCATTGTTTTCCTTACATAACATTAAAGCAACGTCATCATGTATGACAACTTCGTACTTCCCAAAAACTTTGTTATTAATCAGCAACTTCTCTTGAGGGTGACATTGTGAGGTGTGCCTCACGCTCAATGTAATATCTTCTTCCAGTTGACTAGGGAAACAGAGGAAATCGATTTTCGCTATTGAATAACAGAGCTTAAGATCTTGACAAAAATATCTCGGGCAGGGAGGCTTAGAAATGAAGCAGATGAGTTAATAGAAAATTTAAACCTATGATATTCCAAATATCGATCTAAAAAGATAAACTGTTTCTTAGCTCTTGTCGATCACAGTTCGTGAAAAGTGACATTCGATTTTTCGACATTCCTTATTTTTCCTTTTAGTGTCCGCTTGAACCTTATTCAGTTCAATTAGCCTTCGCCACATAGAAAACCAAGGAAATAACCATTTTCCTTTTGTTCTTCAGGAACTACGTTTGAGAATACCGTTCGTAAATCCTCATGGCAAAATTTTTCATTTGGTAAAATAAACTTGGTCCTGATCATCGTAGTGCTAATGGCGGTTGTGATCCTAGCGATTGCAGTCGTATTCGGGATATTGTTTTGTCGACGACACCATGGTCATAAAAAACAAGGCAAGTCATTTGCATCATTTGCATCATTTACATCTTCATTTTTGTCTGTTTATTTGTTTGTCATGTGTTTGTTTTTTTCCCCTGTTTTTTTTTTTCTAGTTTTGTTTTTGCTTTTGCCTCTTTTGAATTATCGTATAACCTTCTTCGTCTCCCTTTTCAATATAAGTATAATTATATATTAATATAAATGATTTTTTGATGCTATTAGCTTATTTCGTAGTACTAGAATGTAGAAGAGTTCCCAACTTCTCTCAAGTTTATCGATTTACTGAGTTAATGTGTCTGAGATAGCCGATCGAGCTTCTATAATAGCTCCATTTTTTTAAAATCAATTTCAGTGAGTATGGTAAACATGTGAATAAGAACCTAAAATATTTGGCTAATACCTTTCTGAGAAATTAGAAAATGTATCTAAGCTAATAGGGAGCCAATCATCCTACTCCCAATTTTACCTTTGGAGATCCTGTCCCTTTCCTGTAATGTCTTGGAAGGGGAGGGGGCTTTAGCTCAAAGGGCGGTTTCTACCTTATCTTGGCTTGCTATTAACATGGATTTTCTTTCTTTTCTCTTTTTTATTTTCGACGGCAACGTCGATTATGACGTGTTTTATCATGACAAACGGCAAGTGGTATACAGTAGGATACTTTAATCTTTAGTACTCCGTTAATTGATTTTAATGAACTCGTAAGATCTTATTTATCCAGAATTTGAACATGGAAAGATGAGGGGTCTATAAACAAATTATCCGCAAAACTTAACTTTCCATGAGAAATATTCTGAGTGATGACAAAACATCTTTCATTTGGCTTTGTATTGCAAGACACAAACAAAATATTTTCAGATCTACATAGTGGTAATGGTACTTACATAATGACAATTGCAATATTTTTTCCCTTCCAAACCTCATTTTCTGCTCAGCCATCATCACCTTTTCTCAATGGAAATTTGATTGTCACTGGATTTGGTCCATCTTATTTGCTTCAAAGTATACATGTAACTCATATCATTAACAGTACGTTACTTTTTTTCCTAAAAATTTCGGTTCGAGTACAGAATCATGACAGGACGGAAAGTGCGTGCACTGTAAGTACCTTCCGTTGTCCCATACGAAGCCTTAGTAAAGTTTTCTAAGGCTTTGTATGGGACAACGGGAGGTAATTACAGTCCACGTATTTTCGTCCTGTCATGCGATGCTACACAAAAACAAAAGGGCAAACACTTAATTAAGCTATATGAACATATCCTTTTATATTACAATCCTACTGAAACCGTTTTACCGCTTTTTGAGAGAAAATATCATTTTGCCTTACAGATGACCTTTAGATCACCTTCACGATCGGGTTACTTGCACCTACGAGGTGTCTCCGAGTTCCGAACTGCAATCTATTGATCCTGTGCATGCCCAACAAACACATAGCTCCACCGAACTTACTGTACACTTAACCCTTTCACAAACGGAATCTGGACTGGCCACCCACGAGACAGGGAGCGACTTCCAAAAAGAGAGTTAGCATGGTGACATAGATAACGCTAATGGGAAGTCAAGGTTAGGAAGTGACGGATGTTCAGAAATTCAGGAACGAGAAGAAGTGATGAGGATTAGAGGTAAGAAAGGAATAGAGCAGCCACGCACTTTGTGCGACGAAAAAGAAGAAAACAAGGATAATGTTTACGCTGTTGTTCATAAAGAAAGAAAAGGCAAGAACAGTTCTGAAGCAAGTGCTCTAAAAACATCCTCAGGCCGCCCTCAGGAAGGCGCAAGTGGGTTACCTGTGAGCCAGGTGTCAGGTGTCCGTTGTATTGGTCGCTCGTCACATCAACCTGATTCAGGACTCGACAACATCGCAAAGGCTGTAGAGAGCGAAACACCTCAGGCTGGCGGAAACAATGAATACTTGTACGCAAGTGTTGACATGACAACGAAGAGGAAGAAGCCCCCACAGGTATAACATTTAACAAATTAAATTCTGACCAAAGTATTTTTTATGTTGTTTTGTTTTTGTTGTTTGTTTTATTTTGTTTTGTTTTTTTTTTAAGAAGACTTTTTTCGTCTCCAGCGCTGTTTATTTTAAGGAAACAAAATCTTGATACACTCACTTGTTCAATTAAAAAAAATATTTTTAATGATAGCCAAGCGTGCAGCTGGAACATAGCAGCTGGACTTGTTTTTAGCTATCCGGAGGGTCCTATGAAAACTGCGTAATGTATACCAGAACTAACAGACAAACTAACGAAAACAAGCAAACAAACACACCAAAAACAAATCACATGCAGCGAAAAGAAAACAAAAGCTTGGGCGAAAATCAAATAGAGCTACACTAATTCTGTTGGCTTATCCTATTCGTCTATAAACTTTAGTCGTCCTTACTCTTCCATCTCGTTATTATTTTTTTTTTTATTTTAATTTATTTTATTTCTATATTTTTGCTTATTAGCTACCATGTTGCTAACATTATTCAGTGTCACTGGTTTCACTAATTACTTATTCGGTATAATTATATTTCTTCGTTTAATGTTTGATCTAGATGCCTCCTCCCTACCGTGGACTTGTGTATGCAGATCTGGCTCATACCCGAGAAAACAGTGCAAAGCTTGTTCAAGAGCAGTCCCAAACAGTATACGCCCAAATTGATCACGTCAAGACAGCAAGCGTGAAGATATCACAGCAGAATCCGGAGGAAACAAAGGAAGGGGAGCATAAGTGAGCTCTGCCCGTTTACAATCGCAGAAATGATTTAGCGATAAAAAATATAAAAAATAAGTCAAAACTGTAAGAGAATGATTGTAATTCGCAGAAACTTTTAGAGAAACAGTTGTCAGTAATCATTTGTTTTGTCATTACTAATTTGATAGAAAAGTAACTTAAATAGATATTGTAGCATGATGATTGTATGAACATTAACTGTTGTGTACCAAAATACTTAACATATTTCATTTAAGTTACATGGAAAACCGAAAAAAATCAATGACTTACAAGCGGTAAGTTTGTGCGGCCGATGAGTTTAAAAACGGGGCTCTGTGCATGGGCGTACTGAAGGAAAACATTTCAAAACTTAGTATAAACTTTGAAAATGTCATTACTTTTTTTACAAATAAATCATCAATTCCCGAGGTCTTATGACATTGAATTAAACTGCAATGTGAAATTGTAACACCCGTTTTAGCGTTTATATCTAGCTTTGGTGTGGTCTGCCATAGAAACAAACAAAAAAAAAACAAACAACAACAACAACAACAACCAATGAATAAATAAACAATTTGATTTAATCAATGTGAAACATTTGAAAGCGTGATTAGAGTATTTTCGATATATTGATTCTAGTAACCAAAACTATCTGAGCTTTGAAACTCAACCAATCACCTTTCCTCCAACTGATTTTTTCTCCAAAGAACATCAGAATCATTGCCTTGGTTATCACAGAGGTAAAATGTCTGGTTTGCGTGAGGAGATTAATTATTTATAAAGGAAAACTCCAGACTTTTCGAAAAAAAACAGTTTTGCGCTTTTTAGACCCATGGCTTCCTGGCTTATGTAATCGTTTGAAACTGTCACAAGAGAGATTTGTTGCTCCCGTTTCGCAGCCCCAAACAGTTTCTTTAGAAACTATCAGCCTTTTTCCACAAGACAATTTGGCTGTGACAGCTCTAAAGCATGACACCCAGTCAATTCAAGGTTTACACACGCGCAAACGTTTGAAATCTGTGTTTACTCGGCTGCGCTTCGTAAGCTACTTTTATTTTTATCGTACCAAAATCTGTCGTCACCCGTGATTTAAACTTAAACATTGGTACAACAACACGAATTTAATTTGTTAAGTATACAGTCACAACTAAAAAACTTCCCTTTGCATCGATAGCGGACTTTCTCACCAAGCTTATGACCGAGAAAGGATGTGCGGAATCGTCTATCAGTTGATAGCGACAGCATATCGAGTTCTTGTTCTTGTGATGAGAATCGTTGCCACTCGCTGACCCTCTGCATCTGGTTCCCTGACTCAGTGATGAATCTTAAGAGGTATTTCGAGCACCATATTTTACGATCTTTCTTATTAAAAAAAGCCATAGACCCAAAAATTTCTTTAATCTTGGGGAATGAAATGTAAACAAAATGCAATTAAAGTAATAAATAGATGCATTGCGTTACTTAATGAAAAAAATCGAGAAGCTCGAATTCAGGCAAACGCCAAAAAGTGCTCCAAATTCCGGAATCTAGCTTACTTGTAATTATCTTAGACGAACGACAATTTTTGTCAAGCGTCGTCATCGCTCATGCTATAGTCAGCTGGAAATTCAATTTACACACATGGTGACCGGAATCACGCCATATACATAAACTCATGAACTCGTAGGATTAAATTTATCTTTACTTTGTTCGAATATTCTTGTCTCAGGCAATGCCAAACTTTTTCTTCTCATTTTTGATCTTTTGATGTTTCTCGATGGATGGAGTTCCACTCAGTCAGTTCGTTTGAAATGACGGCTAGACATGATGTCCAATTTTGAAATAGCGGAATATTTGAGAAATAGGTGACTTAAATTTCGGTTTCTCGCTTCATATAAACTTCTCCTAGCCAAAAAAAGGATGAACTTTACGCCGTTGTTAAGACCAATCGCGGTGACAATTCAGTCTTTTTCAGTTTGCACCAGGTAAGGTTTCTGATGCACGAGTTCCTATGGCGTGTAACAAAACATCATTTACACAATATAAACAGTGCAATTCCTGATCCTTTTGTTGCATTACTACTTTGGAGAAATGTGGACTCCAAAACTTGCTGTATCTGCATATCTCGTTCGCTGTCTGTTTCCCTTTGTGTTACCTCGCCGAGTGGCTTACTGCAAATAAAGCAACCATTTTGGAACCCAGACAACTAGCTGCCTTGAGCATCTCTATCAGAGGGACACAGAATTGAATTCAGAGAGTAAGCTTTTTAACAGCTGATTATTTGATCAGAGAAATTTTTTCCTGGTCCAACCAGTGACTTAATTTCAATGACGAGAAAGAAATAATTAAATGGATTTTCGTAACTAGTAAAAATCATACGTACAACGAATACTAGGCCGGGAATTTATTTTAAGAGCCGCTGCCTCTAAATATCAAACATCGCCCGACAGTTAAAAAAAATCGACCTCCATTTTATTCCATAGAACTATTTTCGAAAATGGAGTTTAAAAGGCTCAGCGAATTTTATTTTTCGAGAAATCGAGAAATGTCCATTTTCGACCAGATGGGGCTTGGCGCGAACCCCAAAATAGGCAAATCTCTGGAATGTTGAGCAGCCTCGCAAAGCAAGTTAAGAAAAATAAAATTGAGACTCCGTTTTATATCAAGTAAAAGTATGCCATTTACGCTTTCTAAAAAATGAAATTTTATATTTTCTTCAGCTTTTCCAAAAGTTTTAGAGGCCCATACATCAACTCCTTCTTAAACAAGGTCGTTTTGCGTAGATTTGACCCTAAATCCAAGGGCAAAAACATCAGCTGGCGCGCATCGTTTTGCAATTAAAATAGTTATTAGTCGTTCTTGACCTTTCATTTCTAACATATAAAAAATCTACTGGCGGCCCGTGAATACTTACT